CGCGCCCATACAGTTGTGGCCCCATTTGGAATTCCCATGGCGTCTCCGCTCCCGTTTTTGGCACGCCTTTTCAAGCGGATGGCGCCCCACAAGGAGCGCCGCGTACAAGCCCAGTAAGGGCAGTCATATTTGCGCATGGCGTAATCGTGCAAATGTCTGCTTGCGTTTGAACAGATCGTGCTCCGCATGGCGGCTCCGCGCACGGCCCTGGCGCGGAGGCCCCCCCCCCGGCTATGTCGTCGCACCTTTCAATCAGGTTGTGCTCCCTGTGGAGCTTCACCTGCAGTCCCAGCGGGGGCGTCCGCATGCGGTCGCCCACTTTCCATGGCCACGGGGGACTATGCAAAATCCGGAAACTATAGGAGAAAAATTCAAGGCCCGATTGGTGTATAAAATTTCGGGACGACGAAAATTTCGGAATGTATCAGGCAGAACGGCCCGCCGAAATTTTATACACCGATCAGGCCATAGGAATTCGCCCTATGAGCCTCCCAGAATTTCTGTGGCCCCGGTGACCCGGGGCTTCGCTCCCAGCCACCGATAGAACCGGCCACAGGCAGGCCGTGGCAGGCGGTGGTGCCCCATTTGTGTAGGATTGGAAACCACATCACAATACCTTGACGCTCCGTTTTCGTTTTTTAGGGGGTTAGAGGGGACGGAGAGGGCGGCAGGGATACGGGGCCTGGATGGAGCGATTGGGGGGGGGGATCGGGGCAGAGACGGGTGGGGAGTGAGAGGGAAAGGGAGGGGCTGGCGGGCGCAGGGAACGGGAGTGGGAGCGGGGAGTTCCGAGCGAAAGGCATGGGAGCGGGGAGGGAGATGGGTGAACGGACAGTGGGGGGTGGAGGAACGCAGGGGGGGGGAGGGAAGGAGTCTGTGAACGGAGACGGAGGCTGGAGGCGAGGTCGTGGCGGGGTCAATGGGGGGGCGATGGTGAGTTGGGAAGGGAGGGAGGGTGATCGTGGGGACGCGGGCCCGTCGCCCATATTTGGCTCAAACCCCCTTGGCGGCATCATTTCCAATCGGGCCAGAGTTTGTACTCCTCCCCTCCCCAATGTGGTGGATGGGTTGGGGTGCTGGCGAGCAGGCCCGCGCGCGTTCCCCGGCCAGCGCGCGGCCCTGTTTAAATTTTCTCGCGTGCCCGGCTACGGGCACGCATTCATGGCCTCGTAACGAGGCACCCCTCGCCTAGAGACGGCATCACCACCATGGGCGGCGGTTTTCCGCCATGGGTGCCGGGGCCGCTGCGGCCTTGCCCGCCCCTGGACAAACGCGCCCAGGCGGGGCGCATGGCGCTTGCTCCCTCTATCGGCCACTGCGCCAAAACCGCTTTGGCCCAACACTCAAAACAAAAATCGGCCCGAACAGGTCGGTGTATATACACACGCCTCCCAACAAGCAGTGGTGAGATCATGCGCGTTAGTTGCGTCGGAGAGGCCACGCTGCTCCAGCCACCAGCCCGTCCCCTGTTCTGTAGGAAAGCATGATCCTGAACCGAAGTTTGGACAGCCCCCTTCTGCCTCATGAGTCCCGCCACCCACGCCTTCCCGAGCGCATCTAAAAGGTGGATCCATCTGGACCGCCCGTCGGGTCGCAGTAATGGGACCGCTGCTAACATGCCAGCGGAGTGGAGCACATTGGCAACGCCGAACGAGCGCCGAGTATCAGGAACTGCATCAGACATCCCGGGACCTTCCCCTCGATGTGACCAGGATTTCCCAGGATGTAGGAGCAACCACCAGATCCCCAGAGGGGGGACACCACTCGGGGACAGTACGTTTGGTTTGGTTGTGTTTACGGCGAGTTTCAGGAAGTTGTAGTCTCTACTAGTTTGCGCAATGTCAGTCTTCGATAAATCCGCCCTCTAAGTACACCTCGTAAAACTTCCTCCGTCCAGGACTCCCATGATTCGACCACCTCACTTTCCATTCCCCCCTCATGTCCCTTTCTTCGAAGAATGGGACGCAATTCTTGACACATTATCCACCACTCCTGGTACTGATTGATAGTCTCGTTTCCTGGGGCCCCACCTTGACCCCGCCAGTTCTCTAGCCACTCTCGAATCCTCCGCCAATCGTCTGGCCCTTCAGTGCTCTTTAAATTCCTGGACTAGCTCCTGCTGTACCCACTCTCGTTCTCGCCGTCGCTGTTGTCGATTCGATGTAGGCCAAGATCGACGCCGGGTAGCCAAGATAGACTCCTCCTCCTCCTCCGTCACCCCTTCAAGGCGACGCCAAAGCCGCAGACGGTCCGCCAGCAGCTTCTCCTGCTCTCTCCTTATCTGTTTCCGTGCGTCACTCGTGAATGTGACTTCTTTGAAGATGTGTTGGCCGACGTCGATCAGGATAGTACGAGTCAGCCGTTGTCTCAGGCATAGCCTCTTACAAGTAGACACCTTCTCTCTACAGTCGCTCTCTTAGTGCGTCCTGAGAACTCTCTGCGCCTGGTACCCCCTCGTACACATCTCATGACAAGATGGAAGTTCCACATCGGTCTCTTCTTCTGCGTATCAGGGGCACCGTCAGGCGCCAGCACATATGGGAGAACTACATGCACAACCAGATGATCACAAGGCCTAACCTTCGAGAGCAGCTGCAGATCTCGGCTGAGTCCTCTCAATGGTTCAGGAGATTTCATTACTTGCACCAGTGGCCATAGTAGGCAGAAATAGTCGATCCTCGTAGCATGACCCGTCGTCGAGTAGAACGTGGAAGCATGAGCACGAAGCGTGTTGGCCGCTTGCATGCCGTGCTCCGCACGAATGGGTCCCATCAGTTTGCCAGCATAATAAGCCTGTGTAGCCGTCACAGCCGGAACCACATTCAAACCATTGTATGCCCGACCAGTGTTGTCTCTTCGAAGTCTGACCAATCCATCGTTTAGAACACAGCAAAACATATGATTGTTTTTGGCTGGCAACGAAGCAAGACACTTTGCAATCCACGCTGCCAGTCTGTCACAAGTAGTACGATAGCAGTCCTAAGCCTCGATCTTCCTCGGCCTCGGATGGGGAAGTACGCCGCTATCATGATCACGCCCATCATCCCGTTTTTTGCACGAGCCAGGAGTCCTCTACTTCGAGATTCTGGAGCAGGTGTGACTTGAACGATGTGCTAAGCCTCACTCTCCCTGCCCCAGATGATACTACAAGCACACGCATTGGTCATATGCGGCGACGCCGCAAAGCCAGCATCCAGGCACAAACGTTTTGAACTCTTTGCCTCTCCAGCTTCTATTGGCCGCCTTCTGATTACAGTGTCAGTGCTCGCTCTCTGTTTGGCTCCTATCACCGCCACCGCATCGAAATGTGTTACCCGCCTTGCAAAATCGTCCACCCAGTCAAGCGTATTGGCAGACAGCGGGTTCGTGTTCCCAATTCTGAAATTGAACAATCCCACTCCGAACAACAGCCAGCGGCGGAGAAACATCAAAGTACAGTGTGTGTAGGTAGTCAGTGCAACTTGGCCCGTGGGGCTGGAGGAGGAGGAGGAGGAGGAAGAGGAGGAGGAGGAGGGACGAGTCGGAGGTGGGAGTAGGGAGGAAATGGAGGATGAGGTGAAGGGGGGTGGACTTAGGGAATGAGGAGACTGCACGAGGCGTTCGAGTTGGATGACACATGGAGCAAGGTGAAGGCACTGAATATTGAGATTGGGACGGGCGCTGTGGTTGAGGCGATCACAAAGCGATGGCTATTCCAATCCCCAGTATCGTTCTGATCTCGACTTGACAGAATTGTATCACCGCGCCTCGAAACGTGCCTGACGTGGTCTAAGCAGTATGTGCATACGGCCAGCAACACAATATGAAATTGATCTTGCTACGTCGTTGGGCGGGGAAGAACTCGAATTGCTAGCGTGACGCTGCGTAAACTCAGACCCACGTGGAACCATTCGGGAGGAGGAAGTTGAAGAAGACTTGTGCAAATCTAAGACTCATCAGCGATGTTGCAATACACCCTCTTTCCGGATTCCCTCTTCGTGGATCCCTGCAAAAAAAACATTGTTACCGAGGGCATTACCCCGTTGGAAAACAACCGTGTGAAAATCGGGCACATTGCCAAACACACCATTCCTGGGATTTCAACGCCGCTCTGATGCTCAATCGCGCCAGAACGCCATCCCTTTGACCTCAACGCCGCGAATCAACAACATGTTACAGCCTGACAGTCTTACATCGTGCCAGAACACGACTTCTGGAACGTCAGCCATAAGAATATTTGACATTCGCGTAAGTTCTTAAGACGAATGTGCGCGGCGCTACGGCGCGCCACATTTTGACAAGGTACCGCTCTCCATCCGTGAATATTATTGGCAGGCCTTCATGGAGAGTGCGCGTGGCGCTTAGGCGAGAAACGCACTTTGAACACCACCCGCCCTCCATCACTGAAACTCCTTGCGATTGTTGTCAGACGAGTGTGCGGGGCGCTGACGCGAGAACCCTGTTTTGAACACGGTCCGCCCCCCATCCGTGAACTCTTGTGGATATTTAAGGCGAGTGTGTGGGCGGCGGCACGGCGAGAACCACATTTTGAAAACGGCCCGCCCACCATGCGCGAAATTGTTGCACCCTCTCAGCGTAGTGATCTGACACTGTGGGGAGATCTCTGGCGAGACGCCGGTCCCGCCGTACCAACGCGCTTCGGGGTGCGACAGGGAGGGGCTACAGTGGAAACCCATGCCAAGAAACACTCTGCCTGCTTCCAGGGTGCCCTGGGTTTCTTGGGTTTCGATGGTTCCCCACACCAATAATCAATGGACGCCCTGGGGTCTCAGGGTTGGGTTCCTTGTGGAAGGTTTCTTGCTGTCGAGTACCAAAGGAGGGAGGAGGGGGGAGGGGCGCACACTTGAGGTTCTCGCCCGTCCTCGCTCTCGTCCCCTCCCGCCCCCTCTTCTCTCGTCCGCGGCGGCACAAGGCCCGCCCTCCCCATCCAGGGCCGAGGAAGGAGCAGGAGCCTTCGCGATGTGTCACTCTCCGCCTCGGCCCCCTGCCGCGCACCCGAGATTCGGCCCCTACTGCGTCCTCACCTTCGTCTTCCTGGAGGAGGCGAGACGACAGTGGGACCGCCGCCTCGGCACAGCGTGGGGCTGACGCCGCCCGCGCGCAGCCATAGAGGGATCTGGCGCGAGCGCGTGCGCTCGTGATCTCGGGCGCTTCGCCTTTCCCTCCAGCGCGCGCCGGGGGGGGGGGTACTCCCCTCCATTTTGATGGCACGAGACATCGAAAGCGGGCGATGTCAAAGGGGGGAACGGGGGCTGGGGAGCCGTCAGTTCTGCCGGGCCGCTGCCGAGTCCTGGTTATTTTCTCCTTCGTCGCGTTCTCATTCTGATTGTTTGGCACTAATGTTGTGGGTTCATTGTCTCTCTCTCTCTCTCTGTTTGTTTGTTCTCTCTCTCTCTCTCTTTCTCTCTCTCTCTGTCTCTCTCTATCTCTGTGTCTTTCTCTGTCTCTCCTCTCTCTCTCTGTATATGTCTCCATTTGTGCCTGTTTCTCTCTCTCTCTCTCTCTATGTTTTTTTTGTTTCTCTCTCTCTCTCTGTCCCTATACTTTTTCCTCTGTGTGTCTCTCTCTCTCTCTCTTTCTCTTTGGTTCCCTGTCTCTCTGTCTCCCTCTCTCTAAGACTCTCGTTTCCCCTGTCGAAATAGATGTGTAAATTTGTATATGCCATCTGATTCTCACTCTTTCGCTCTCTCTCTCTCTCTCGTTTCTCGTTCTCTCTCTCTATCGCTTTCATCTCTCTCTCTCTCTCTCTCTCTATATATATATATACACCGCACTCACATCTATACCCCTGGGTGGGTGTATGTGCGGCCGTTTTTGCGCTGTCATGTGCGCGCATGTGCGCGGCATGTGCCAGTCATGTGCCAGGCCTGTGCGGTCCTTCTTGGATGGACTTCCGACTGTGCACGTCGTGCCCGGGCATGTGCGGGGGCATGTGCGCTGTGTTTTGATGTATCCATCATACGCACATGCACGCACAGTCCGACGCACATGCGCGCACATGCCTGCACATGCGGGAGGTGTTCGAGAATCGCAGATCTGTCATCGGCACATGCACGCACATGCCTGTGCAACCTCTCTTCGGGAGGCCGCGCGGGCCCGCACATGCACGCACATGCGGTGAAGCGCGCGGGCGCACATGCGTGCACATCCCAATGCACATGCACGCTCATGCCCTAGGAGCTGTCTGGGACCCCTGTGCCTCCAATGCCTCCTGGCCTTCGCAGAGCTAACCTGGGGCGTGCCAAGGCTTCCTGAAAGAGTTTGTTGTGCGTTTAGACTCGCCCGCTGCTGGCGGGGGCGGTTCTTCGCCCGGTTCGTGAGCTGGCGGTGGCGCGCCCGCCTAATAAAATACTCTCCCCGCGCGCCTTCTCAGCTCGGCCGGAGAAGCAGGGATGGGGGGGGGAGGTGGAAGGGGGGGGGGGAGGGGGGAGCGGAGGAGGCGGGCGCCCCCGGCTCGGCCCGCCCGCCTGCCTGTTCGGCTCGGCCAGAGGAGAAGGAGGAGGAGGAGGAGGAGGAGGAGGAGGAAGAGGAGGAGGAGGAGGAGGAGGAGGAGGTGAGAGTTGCAAGGATGTCTCAGGCGAAAGTGGCTTGACGGCCCGAGCTCAGGGAATCTCGGAATCGCTGGCCTGGCTCGGCCACCGGCGAGCTCGGCCTGTGCGAATACTGTGCGTACCTGTGCGGGGCATGTGCGGGACGTGCAAGAATGCCGGGGCCAGCGTTCGTCTCCGGACGCCGGCGCGTTCGCGTCTGGCCGGTTCCGCGTGAGACGTCGTCGGCAATCTGGAGGCCGACGTGCTTTGACATGAAGTGATCTGGCCACCTTCGCCTGAGACATCCTCGCAACTCTGGTCTCGGAGATGCCCTGCCCCATGGTGGCCCGGCCACTTTCGCTTGAGATATCCCCGGAACTCTGGGTTTCGAGACGCCCTGAGCTGAGGTGGTTAGACCACTTTCGCCTGAGACATCCTCGCAACTCTGACCTCAGTGATCTCCTGCCCCATGCTGGTCAGGCTACTGTCGCCTGAGACATCCTCGCAAGTCTCGATTCCGATATGCCCCGAGCTGAGGTGGTCATCCTCGGAACTCTGGGTTCCGAGACGCCCTGAGCTGAGGTGGTTAGACCACTTTCGCTTTAGACATCCTCGCCCGAGATGCCCTGAGTTGAGCTGTTCAGGCCACTTTCGCCTGAGACATCCTCGCAACTCTGACCTCAATGATGCCCTGCTCCATAGTGTCTCGGCCTTTTTCGCCTGAGACCCTCGCAACTCTGGGTTCTGAGATGCCCTGAGCAGGTGGTCAGGCCAGTCCTGCCTGAGACATCCTCGCAACTCTGGGCTCCGAGATGCCCTGGGCTGAGGTGGTCAGACCACTCTCGCCAGAGACATCCTCGCAACTCTGACCTCAGAGATCTCTTGCCCCATGGTGGTCAGGCCACTTTCGCCTGAGACATCCTCACCCTCGCCACTCTGGTTTCCAAGATGCCCTGCCCCATGGTGATCCGGCCACGCTTGCCTGAGACATCCTCGGAACTCTGGGTTGCGAAATGCCCCGAGCTCAGGTGGTCAGGCCACTATCGCCTGCGACATCTCTGCGGCATGTGCGGGCATGTGCGTCTATGCTTTCAGAGTTTTGCTTGACCGTGCATTCGACTGTGCGTCGGACGGTGTGGCATGTGCGCGCATGTGCGGCAATGCTGTTGAGGCTTTTGTATATTTGCATGGGCATGTGCATGCGACTGTGCGGCATGTGCCTGCATGTGCGGCCCCTTCCGGACCACAATTTCAAAGTGAGCACTATAGAAGTGAGCGCTATAGAAGTGAGTCCGGTGTATATATCGCCTTTTATGTCTCAGACGCAAGATGCTTATGTTTCACCAGTGAGCATAGCCGCCTCCACATGTCAGTTGATATTGTAGACGCCTCCGGCCGGTGCCGCCGATCTGGGACGATCCCGTTGTCAGAAGGACGCTTTTGCTCCAGCGCGCTTGTTCGAACGTAAGTGGTTTGGAAACAGCTTGGAGGCATTGCGTGGGCTTCTTGAGGGGCCTCTACGACGCATCTTCGAGGCCTCCTGGGGGGGCCTCTTGGAGGTGAGTGTTGAGTCTCTTGGGGGCCTTTTGGGCACTTGGGGGGCATGCAGGAGGCATCCTGGAGGCCTCCTGGGGGTGTGTAGGAGGTAATTTTGAAGCCTGCGGGAGCGCTTTTGGGCGCCTTTTGGGGTCCTCTTGAAGGTCACTTGGGGCCTCTCGGGTTTCTTGGGGACTCCTGGGGCCGTTTTGGTGCCTCCTCGGCGCCTCTTGGGCCGTCTTGGACCCTTCTGGGGCCGTCATGGAGGCCTCTTGGGCGCTTCTTGGGCCCGTCCTGGGGCCCGCTTGGTCTGTCTTGGAGGCCTCCTGGGCCGTCTCGGGCCCTTCGTGGGCCGACTTGGGGCCCTCTTGAGAGCCTCTGGGCCTGTTTTGGGGGTCTCTTGGGCCGTGTTGGACACTGCGAAGGCCGAAGAAGTTCTCTCTCTCTCTCTCTCACACTTTCGCTCTCTGTTCTCTCTCTCTCTCTCTCTCTCTCGTTTCTCGTTCTCTCTCTCTCTCTCTATTGTTTTCATCTCTGTCTCTCTTTATCCCCCTTTGATGTCTCAGACGCAAGATGCTTATGTTTCGCCAGTGAGCAACGCCGCCTCCACATTTCAGTTGATATTTTGCGCTGCCAGAATCTCTCGCTAGACGTCCCCGGGCGTGGACAGGAGGCCGAACAAGAAACGGCAGTCCCTTTGATTGTTGAGGGTGAAGGCTATCCGTGATTGTTGAATTGAGAGGGGACAAGTGCAGGAAAAGAGAGAACGAGGATCAGCAGGTGGTGCCACTCCAACTGGCCCACGCCTCCTCCCCACCTGCCCCTCCTTGAGCGACGGGGCGATCGGCCCCCCTGAGCGCCCCGGGCGGCAGGTCCGGGAGGTCGTGGGCACGGAGTACGGCGACGGCTTCGTGTTGCAGTGCCTCCTGCACTACGGCGGGTCGGTGCCGTCCGTGGTCGGCCACATCCTAGACGGCTCCTTGCCGCGAGCGAGCGGGAGCAGAGATCGAAGGGGGGGGGAGTCCGAGGCCGGAGTTGATGAGTAAACGATCCGCGGGGGCAGTGTGACTTTACGGTGTCGGGGCACGGGTGGGGTTGCAGCAACGTTGATGTCATGCAGCCACAGCCTCCTGGGGCACTTGGACGCGCGGTGCAGGCCGAGGAAAAGGATACAGCGCCCCAGAGCGCTCTGGATCCTGGATCGCCTTCAGAGCGTTCAGGAGCCCTCTTGGAACGGCCGCGGCACCGCGCGACACCCGACCAGTCAGGTCTCAGAGACACCCGATCTATCCCGTGCCGATCTTGTCCTCATCCTACACGCGTTTGGGGTTCCACACGCATGGGGGTCCACAGACCTAGGCTTCTGTTCGCGTGGACTTGTTGCGCGAACTATCTGTGGTGCGCTCGCCTAACATTTTTGCTCGAACTCATCGCCCCTCTGACATGGCAGTGTAATGGCAGTGCTCCCGCTGCTTCCAGATGTGGCTGGCTCTGGCACGTGCGCCGCGTGGATCGCTTTGAGATTCGTTGGCTGACAACGCACCGCCAACCCCTCGGGGCGGCAGTAAGAGTGAACAACGGCGTTTGCAGAACGATTTCTGGAGAATCTATCTTGGGGTTTCAGCTTCTTGGGATTTCGTCGGGGGCGGTTGGCGGATCGCCGCTGTGCTCTTGGGCTTCTCGGGGCTCTCCTGGCAGCATTTTTGAGGCCTCTTGGGGGCCGTTTTGAGGCCTCTACGAGCCTCTTTGGGGCCTCTCGGGGGCCTCGTGGGAGCCTCTTGGGGGCCGACTGGCGCCTCCTCAGGTTTTTTCGGGGCTGAGTGCTCGAAATGTTCACTCGGGTTCCCCCTCTGGGCCTCCTCTTGGGGCCGTCCTGGGGCCCTCCTGGGTCGTTTTGGGAGCTTCTGGGGCCGTCTTGGGGCCCTCTTGAGCCGTCTTGGAGCCCTCTTGGGGGCCTCTTGGGCTATTTTGGGTCGATCTTAAAGGCTTCTTGGGCCGTTGTGGGCCTCGTGGAAGCCCAAGAGGCGAATGTGCTAAAAATATACGCTTTCCCATAGAAATGAGACGAGTTTTGCTTCTGGAGGGTCTCTGGGGACGCCTCTTGGTGGCTTCTTGGGGCGTCTTGGGGCCCCTGGGGCCGTCTGGAGCCGATCTTGGGCGTCTTGGAGCGATCTTTCGGCGACTCGTAGCCTTCTTGGACCGTCCGAGGGGCCTTTTGGGGCCCTCTTGGCCCGTTTTGGGGCCCCACTCAGGTTCCAAGGGTGCGGCTGACACCTGTGCCCCCCCCGTCCCCCCCTCCAAACCAGCCGGACCGGGCTCTGGGGGGAGGGGTTTGGAGAAGGGGGAAGCATCTCACACGCCGTGATTTCAAGGGGTCGACGGATTTTGTGTGCATGCATTTGGTTGCAGTTTTTCCGACAGCGTTGGGGGGCTCCCGTGGGGAGGCAGGGATGGGCTGTCTTTCGCGCGACGTCGGGGTGTGCATCGCGTTACGGGGTTTGTTTAGTGCGCGTGGGTGGGCAGTAACGGGGCCGTCAGGACGCCCAGCGTGAGGTTGTTAATGAAATACCTCGGGGTCTCTTCGCTGGAGGGAACTTGCCCCGCGGGGCCTGTTTCGAGAAGGCTTTCACACGTTTCCCCAAAGTGGTTTTGCCTTGTGTCTGCAGCGCCTGGCTGCAGCCCAAAGGTGGGCCCCTTCCGCGGGACCACGCTGCTGGGGCCCCACAGGATCAGGTCCTACACGATGGGTACCACCCGATGCCGTCTCACCTCCTGGTTTCCAGCGAGGTCCCACACAACAGGGTACCACGCAACAGAGTCCTACCCGCTGAATCGACTCGATGGTACCCCACATGATGGAGTCTCACCCGATAGGGTTTCATCCGATCTTGTTCCAGGCGGTATGATTTCACACGCCAGGATCCCGCGCGATGGGGTCCCACGGCATGGTTCCACACGCATTCACGATAGGGCCCCAAAGATAGCACCAAATCGATGGCACTTCGTCGGAGTTTGGGGGGTGAGAGATCGCGGTGGGACGGAGAGCCTTTCACCGGGAAGTCGATTTCGGTTTCGTGTTCGTGTCGTGCGTGTGAGCAAGACGACGCTGCGTTGGCGCGCGAGAGGAATGAAGCCGCCGTGGCTAGGGGCTGTGGAGCCGGATGTCTGCCCCTCCCCTCTCCGGCGCGCGGTGGCTTGGTGCCCGGGGTGCCTCGTCGGTGGCGCGGGGGTGCCCCGTCGGTTGCGCGGGGTGCCCAGTCGGTGGCGCGGGGTGTCCCGACGGTGGTTCAGGTGTCCCGCCGTGGTGTCTCGATTGGTAGCTTGTGAGTGAAATCAGTTGTGAGATCGATCGTGAGATCGATAACTATATCGATTGCGTGATCGATCGTGATTGTGAGATCGATCGTGGGATCGCGAGATCGATAGTGAGATCGATACAGAGATCGATAGTGAGAACAATAGTGATATCGACAGCGAGATGTCCCGGCGGTGCCTACGTGGTGTCCCAGCCGCCTTGCGTCGAAGGTTCCTGCGCCATCGTTACCATGACGGTCGTCGGAGGTGAGGGGGTGAGATCGCAGTGGAACGGAGAGCCCCTCACTGGTGGCCTGGTCGGGGGTGCCCCGTCGGTGGCGCGGCGGTGCCCCGTCGGTGGTGCGGGGTGTCCCGACGGTGGTCGGGGGTGTCCCGCAGTGGCGTCCCAATGGTAAATCGTGAGATTTGTTGTGAGATCGATAGTGAGATCGATAGCGAGATCTATCACACCAGATCTTTGGCTGGGGGTGCCCCATCGTGGTGTCCCGACGTTGTCTCGTAAAATCTGTTGAGAGATCGACAGTGGGATCGGAAGTGAGATCGATTGTGAAATCGATAGTGAGTTCGATAGTGGGATCGAAGCAGCGCTATGGGTGGACCTTTATGCATTCTCACCATCAGCGTCATCGTGCATCGTCGCTGCCTCGCGAGCGCAACGCTAGCATCGTTGTCGTCTAAATCATCGCAGTTGTCGTCAGTGGATGCTCCCTCCCCAAACCTCCTTATCACCCGAAGGGTGGCCCCAAACCTCCTTATCACCCGAAGGGTGGTTGTATAGGTAGATTGCGCTGGGGTGTTGCTCGGGGTCAAGGCTGGCCTCACCAGTGGTTGTGGCGATCGGAGCGCAAAGGGCAGATTCCCGAGCAGATCTGAGCGGTGGGCCGGCCCGCAGGCTCGCTGCCGCCGCAGCTGACAGCGCTGCCCAAAGGCGCGGGGTCACTGAATGCACTGCTGTAGGAGGAGGAGGAGGAGGAGGAGGAGGAGGAGGGGGAGGAGAGGAGGAGAAGGAGGAGGACAGAGTAAGCAGAGCGCATTCTCTCCGTGGACTCGCTCCACCACGGCCAGTGGCACCACCCCCATGGACTAGCTCCACCACGGCCACTGGTATTCTGCTTCGATCATCCCCTTTACTTTGAGGGCATGTGGCCCGTTGACGGGGACAACTTCTGGCCTCTGGCAGCACGGATTCCCCGCAAGCTGCCCCACAGTGTCTGGCACTTCGCCGAGAACCGTTTCATCCCTGATGATGCGTTTGGGTGCCCTTGGACGCCCAACAGCGAGCTTGGTGATCCTCCTCCTCGTCCTTTCTCCTCCCGTCATCCTCCTTACTCCCTGCTCTCTCCCGCCCTCCACCTCCCGCTTCCCTCTCTCGCAGCCCTCTCTCGCAGGCGAGAGCTCGCCCCCATTTTCCCCGAAGTCCCAGAAGTTCAGCCCAAACAAATCTGCCCTGATTCTTCTCTCAGCCAATCGAACGTCCCGCGAAGTCGGTGAATGGGCTCGCCATGCCTAGTGTTATGCTTCCCTTCTCTTCTCGAAAAAGAAAGCCAGCACATAAACATAGACTGTTGGCGCTCCGCGCGGATTTCTTGGATCCGCGCTTGGGCCCCCCCCCCCGGTGTCGCCTCCAGCGCTGCCCCTGGCGCGCTCCGCGCGCCAGGGAGGGGGGTGATCCCAGAAATCCGCGCTGGACGTCTATCTTCACTTCTCCTACATCCTTCATCCTTTCTCGCTCCCCTCGCTTCTTCCATCCGCCCTTCTCTGTTCGTCCATGCCCCCCCCCATCCCTCTTTTCTTCGCTTCTCCTCCTCCGTGTACTGCCCGTCCACCACCTGGGTGACATACCAAAACATATGTTCGGCTGTGCTGAAAGTCGCGCGTGGGCGTCCCGCGTAAGGTCGGGCGCAGACGCCCTCTTTACAAAGTGGTCTGCCGCCGCCGCTAAGTGGTCTTTTACAAGTGGTCTTTACACAGTGGTCTTTACAAGTCGTCTCTTTACAAGCTTGCGTAAGTCGTTGCTGACCGCCGCCGTATCCTCGTTTGTGGGAGCCTCTCTCTCTTGGTCGTCCGTTTGGTTCCGCCCCAGAGTCCTCCTGCAGGGCCCCAGCTTTCCAACAAGAAAAGGAACTTGCCAAGCACCTTCAACTCCTACTCATGATGGCAATGTCTTCCTTTTGGCATCCTCAAACGTGTTGGTAGGGTGGGCCTGACGTTTCGCTTAAGACTTTTTCATTATTTATGACCCTGAGGTTTGACATTTGCAGCAGTTTGACGGATGGACGGCAGTTGGCTTTCAAAATGTGGTTCTCGGTTCAGATCGCGCGCATTCGTTTCAGTTTTACGGATGGAGGACTGGTGGTTTTCAACACGTGTTTCTCGCCGTAGCGCCGCGGACATCCGTTTCAATTGTTGCAACAGCTTCAAGGGGATGATTGGTCTTTTCAAAATGTTGTTCTCGCTGTTGCGCCGCGTTCATTCGTCATAACAGTTTGCAGACGTTTCAAGGTTGAAGTCCAAGTAATGGTGTTCTGGCACGGTTTAGGATTGTCAGGACGCATCGGCATGATTTAGGATTGGCAGGACGCAACAGTCACATTGATTCACGGCGTTGCAGTCCTACGAGTGGTGTTTTGGCACGATTGAGGATTCCCACGTTTTTGTTTTACAAAGGAGCATTTCCCGCAATGAAGATGACTCACTGTATGGACTTGGCGGGAGGCACTGATCCTCGATTCCTCCTCCCTCTTCTCGTCCTCGTCCTTCTCCTCCCTCTCCCCCCGGTCCCTCCTCGATCCGCAGAATGCACCTACACCACCACCACCAACCACCATGCTTGGCCAGTACCATCCTTGGCACTAGGATGGTGTATAGACCCTCCTGGCCTCGGCCAGGAGTGCGTGTGCGCGTGTTCCCTGACAGGCGCTCCAGAACTGCGGTGCCGCTTCACCAGGAGGCCAATTCGCTTGGAGGGCAACCGGTAACCCCCTATCGTGCTTCCGCTGATTGGGCTCGCTGGCGCGCCGCGCCGGAGGAACCACTGCGTCGCATCTTCGGGGGATCTCGCCTGTCCCCAAGAATGGTGTCTTTTCTCATGCCCGACGCGGGCTCGATCCGGACTCGACGCGGATTTGGCGCAGACTCGACGCGGATTCGACATGGATCCGGCACAGATCCCACGAGGTCGAGATGGATTCGGCACGGATTCGACGCGGATAGGGCCTCGGTTCCCCGAGGATGCAGTATGAGGAACAAGCGTGTGTGGTTTGGTGCCCTCTGCGCATATCGGAGTGCGCCGCGCCCGCTCGCAGGCATGAAGCTCGGCGACTCGTCGGATGCTGGCCAGCCTGGGGACACCGGCGGAAAGCTCTCCGCCGAGGACGCGTGCGGGCGTGCGGGAGGGGGCTGTTTTTCAAGCAGTGGCGAAGCGGCCTGGCTTGCCTATAGGGCCACCAAACAATGATCTTAGAACTTCTTGTGGCTTGCACGAAATGTTCTTATTCCCTACCTAGGCTCTGCCTAGAAGGGTTCTTACTGTCTTTGGCTTAAAGGGGCCGGGCAGTGTAAACCGCCCTGGGCGGTTCCCCCAGTCCCCTGGGATCCAAGCAATAACAACAGCAAAGGTACAAGCAAACGCGCGGTTCCCCCAGTTGCGCTCCTTGGGTGCCAAGCAAAAGCAAAGGCAACAGTGAAGGCAAAAACGAAGACAAAGCACAATCATAACATAGCATAGCATAGCATATCATAGCATAACATAGCATAGCATAGCATAGCATAGCGCAGCATAGCATAGCGCAGCATAGCATAGCTTAGCATAGCATAGCCTAGCCTAGCCTAGCCTAGTCTAGCCCAGCATAGCATTGCGCAGCATACCATAGCATATCATCGCATAGCATAGCATATCATAGCATAGCATAGCATAGCGCAGCACAGCATCCACGACTACTACTGCTACTGCTACAACTACGGCGATGAGGAGAAGGAGGAAGACGGCGTTTACCGCTCCTACTAGTGTTGCTTTCCTAGAGGCTCCAACTCCTAGGTAGGGTCGCACTGGGATAATCATATTTCTGGCAGAGACTGTCTTGCTTTAACACGCCGGTTGGATGTTCTAAGAATACAGTGTTTGCTCTTAGAACATGCTCCGTTCATGGAAGCTTCGTGGTAGGACTACAGGAATGCTGGGACGGTCGGCCCCTGCTCAAGCTTTGAAGAAGCGGGGTTGAGGATGGAAATCGTCCTCCTCCTTGCCTCCTCGCTCCTGGTTCCCTCCCCCTCCTCGCTAGCCTTCCCCTCTTTTCCCCTCTGCTTGCTCCCTGCCCCCTCCCTCCTCATCCTCCTCTATCCTCTCCCTTCCTGCTCCTCCCTCTCCTCTGGACGCGGGGAAAAATGGATACGATGCCCAACAGCAAGTGTTGTCCAAGACCGACATTCGCCACTGTTGGGCATGCGGCCTCCTGTCTCAAATGAAGTCTGCCCGCGGCGGCACCGACAGCAAATCTGGTTCAAAGTGGAGATGAATTACGGTCGGTCTTCCTACCCATTCTTTCCGTACCCATTTCGATCGTACCGATCTCCTCTTCGGCCTTGGCAGGAGAAGCGGCGGATCATGGACCGGAACGACCGGATGCTCGTCGAGGAGAGGGAGAAGGCCGAGCGCGCGCGAGCCATGAAGGCTGGCGAGATCCCTCCAGACAAGCCAGACAAGGCCCGGAGTGGAGAACAGCAGCAGCAGGATGAGGAGGAGGAGGAGGAGTCGGGACGATCGAAATGGGTACGGAAAGGATGGGTACAAAGACCGACAGCAGTTCTTGCTCATTTTGAGCAGGATTCGCTGTCCACGTCGCCGCGGACGTTGTCCATTTGAGACAGACTGCCGTCTGCCCACCAGCGGCCGCCGCTGGTTTTGGACAGCAGTTGTTGTTGGGCATTGTGCTAGTTTTTTTCGTACCACTTCGGGCGCCCAAAAGGAGGGGGGTGAATGAGGGGGGGAGGAGGAGGAGGAGGAGGAGGAGGAGGAGGAGGAGGATGTTGTGGATGGAGGAGGGTGGAGACTAGGCGCTAGGCCGCGGAGGTGAAGGGATAGCGGGAGGCGGAGCATGAGGATTTGAGCGTGGCGGCACCTATCTTTTTGAGGTTGACGATGGCGCCACGTTCGTTGTGCCAGATGTCCCACGAGGTAGCCGTCCATCCCATCCGTCTGAGGGTCATGTGAACAGCTCGTGGAGGCCCACAGATTTTGGTGTCCATATTCTGACCGTCTGCTGCGCATAGTTGAAGGCCATTTCCATCACCTTTAGTTTGACCCAGTCGTCCCTCTTCACTCTGAGCCAGAGCCAAGGGACCTTCATCTGCCATGTGCGTGGGATCTGACCCAGGACAGTGTGACATGACGAACTCCATCGTTCTGCACCTGCCTCGGGCACCTCCAAACTGAGCATGTCCCGCTCTGGCCTTGACCTGCTTGAGCTGCGCAACTGACATGCCTTGCGCTTTGGCCGCCTACATACGCCACTGACACCAAGCCCCCACTCTAATGGCGCCCAAGCTGTCGCCCACGTGCGCCAATCTCCGATGTCTGATCATCCTCCTGCTCATCGCGGGTAACCGTGTTTGCTGGACTGGGGCGGCATCATCCCCTCGCAGATTCTTGTAATGTCCAAGTTGCCGAACGATGCGTCCTTTCTTGACCTCTACATGTTTCCAAGGCAATCTCAGCTCGTTTGGGCCAAGCTCGTTGACGTCGCATTCACCTATCCTGTGTTTGGGCCCAGCCCCAAACCAATGCCTGTCAACTTCTCGCACAATGGCATTGTGGCGCCGATTGTTTCTCTTGCGACTTTCTGCACCTATCGCTCGAACTCTACCAGTATCCACAGCTATTGCCACGGTAAGTGATGGCCAAGGCGTGCAGATTTGGTAGAAGCTTCGCAACATCATCATCATCGTCGTAGCAAATGTACACCCCGCGATTGCTTCACTGGGCACCTTCTCGTAGATCTGGAAACAACGCTGCCAAAACGAAGCGCTCGTTTTCCAGCATGCGATGTGATCAGTACGGTCAGCCTTACTTTGTTGAACAGTCATCGGCACCCAAACTCCCCAAGCTTCTCATGCGGCAACTTATCAACGGTGTTCTCGAGACCCAGCATCACCGCCACGAATTGTTGATTGAGGAATATCCCAGCTGCAGCCAACAGTACATGCGTCCACTGTACGCTCTGGGGTTTGCCCTGCCGTTACGGAGTGATACCTCTTCCGATCTTATCCATCCATGCATCTTGGTCAGCCTTTTTTTCTGCACTTGATGGTCGGCCCTGAGCCGTTATCTGCTGAGGTAATTCTTGAAGTCTATCGGCCTCGCTTATCACAACTCGAAAGCCCTGAGTCCCTCATTAGACAAAGGGCCATCTTCCTCGGTCCCGCTTCTCACGAACCCCGAGCGCGACCGTGCATATCCTCCTGGCTCCAGTCGTTCAGGTCCTGGCCCATTCAACCCGTGCAAGTCTCATGCCACCACCCAAGGACTCCTCATGATCAACCCTCCGTATCTTTCCCCACTCATTCATGTCAGCCCGAGATTGGACGCTCTTCCTGCTATGAGGTAGAAGGGGCCTTATTCCAACTGTGCGCTCGCCCGTCTTCTTGTTCAACTGCTCTGCCGACGCTCTTCCTCCATGCTTGTACACAATGTGGAATATTAGTGCTCGATCTTGGCGGCTTCATGGGCCGCGCACCAGCTAGCATCTCGCAACCAGTCTTCATCCCAATTCCTTGCATTGATATTTCGAAAGCGCCAGATTTCCCATCGACTGTCTATCATGATTGTATTGTTCCTGAGGTTGGCATTCGTGGCACGTCTGTTAAAAAAAACTGATAAACTGCGTGCATCCAGCTCCGCCTTCTGGGACATGAATGAAGCACATCATCGCTATTGCCCCCGCTCTCTGAACCCCCGGTCTCCTTCAGATCCGTTTCCTGGCGATTTCCTCACAGCATCCACCAGCTTGACCTGAGGTGTGGCGAGATCCTCCCTACCTGAACACGCTAACGTTTGTATATCGCCGAGGTGGTATGTGGAACAGCACTCAGACCCTGACAGTTTAACAAAAACTGGAAGCGCAACTGAAGGCCCACTCCGTCACGATCTTCAGCATACTGCGCCAAGAATTTCTCACGGTGGGCGTGCAGCAAGCTGTTGGAAACTTCGATTGGCCGTTTAGCTGATTTTCGAGACTAGCTCCTTGTCTTGATTCAATATCAGTCATGACAGCCCAAAGCGTTGCCAGACGTAGCCCCTCCATGCGCTTTGCAGCTCTGACCGAACTCTTGAAGTGCTTGCTGATGACGAGGAAGTCCAGCATTCTGCCAGCCCTGGCAGCCCCGGTCCAATGAGGCGAGGTTGCAATCGTCGTTGGCGTAGCTTCCAAGGCGTTGAGATCCATGAGATCTCTCGGGGACATACTCCTGTCAGCACCAATGATGAAAGGATGGCCTATCCTCTGGAGCTGCTCGAAACATTGCAAGACTCTTCGCTTGATCGCGCCCTCAACCCCGTTTATCTTACCCTCCGAAATCAGGTATATCGACTCCAAGAGAAAGCCTCCAGGAAGCACGCAATCAACCCATTGAACAGTCCAGCTCGTGGATGTTGGTGCACCTCATTTCATGTCTGGCGGCGTGGCAGATGCAATATCTTGATGTAACCCCACTGCCATTCCTGACCGCGCACGTGTGTTGGTTGCACATTGCTTCGCTGGTGGAATTATGAAATGCCAGCCTCGATTCTTCATGCCCATAATGGTATGTGTGTGTGCCCTCACCGCCAGCGCAGTCACCCTGCCTAGCCGCCAACGGAAAAAGTGTGTGTGTGTGTGTTTGTGTGTGCGGCCTCCTGTCTCCCCTTTCCTCCCGGGACTGCCCCCTTCCGGTCTCCCAGCGCGGCGTCTCGTGCGCCCAGGGAGTCTGCGTGGGGATCGACGTTGGTGAGCGACTTGGCGGCTCAGACGCTACGTCGATGCAGTTGTTTGGTTGTAGTTGCCCCAGGACAACATTGCGGACTCACGGAGTGAGTTGCCCCCAAACAGGTTGTTCCCGCAAATTGTTGGCTAACATGTTGGTCATCCTCGGACCCCAGAGGCTCTCTTCGGGCCCTGGATCGGTCACGTCGTCGTTGTCGCCGTAATTGTCGAGACTCGCAGAGGTCACGTCGTCCTCGTCGTCGTTGTCGTCGTGGCGCCGTCCTTGTCGACGATGCCAGCGCCCGCGCGCGCTGCCCTTGGGAGGCCCGCACGCTGTCCGCCAAGGGGTACGCCAGCTTGTACGACGACGACGCAGACGAGGACGAGCCGCCCTCAGCGGCGGCCGCCCTTGCCTGGATCGGCGCCGAGGGCGGCGAGGTCTGGCCGAGCGGCGGATGCGGGAGCCTGTTCTGGTTCAGCCTCTGGCGGTGCCGGGGGGGTTCTTTGGTTGAGGGGGAAGAAGCGAACCACCACCCCCGCCATGGCGCCCCCTCCCCTCTCTGGGGCTGGGTCAGATAGCTTCGAAACTAGATTGTGAGGACGTTTCGCCAAACGCGACGCAATACCCCCACCTGCCTCCCTCCCCTCCGACCATCTGGCCTCTGGGGATGGGGGGTGAGGGTGCTTATTTGCTCCCCTATAGATGGGGTCGGTGAATCGCGCCGCATCGCCGATGCGTCGGCAACGCGGCTCGACCTGGGGCCCGATTTCATGCACATCGACGGCGCGGGCGCATCGTCGATGTCTCGGGTGCATCGCCGATGCATCGGCGATATGGCTTGATTCACCGACCCCTTCTACTTCGACCCCAGTTGGGTGGCCTCGGGGGATGGGCTCGGGCTGAGGGGGCTGCGCTAGCGTCACGATTAGTGCCAGCGCCGGCTTGGAGTCATCTACCTGTAGCCGTTCCTGGACGGCGCTGCGATGGGGCGAGAGCGTCATTCTGAACGATTTGAGCAACACGCCAATCCTGAAATGACGCCAACGCTGACGCGGCAGCACCATCTTGGAATTCGAACACGCCACGATTTAACAAACACTGTGTTCGCCAGTATGGACCCACAACTGTGATTTCTCTCAATCTAGGCGGTGCAAGCAATGTGGAGCAATCTGCATGGCGCAATCCATGTAGCGCAGTCGATGAGTTGCAAAGCAATACAAAGTATTGCAAACCAATGCAATACAATTCAAAGCGACGCAAACAATGCACACCAATGCAAATGAATGCAAAGCAGTGCAAAGTCATGTAACTTAGTGCAACGTCATACGATGCAACGCAACTCAAAGCAACGAAGCATAATGCAACGCGATGCGAGCCAATGCGACACACTGCAATGCGGTATAGCTCAATGCGATGGAAAGGAGTGCAAAGCAATGCAAGACAATGCACAACAATTCAACGCAAACCAGTGCAACATAATGCAAGGCAATGTAATTCAATGAATAGAAGTGCGAAGCAATGCGAAGCAAAGCAAGCACTTCCGGCAGGGGGTGCCGATCGGAATCGCTGTGAGACGGGCGTGTTGGCGCGTTTCCAAGCATGCCCCCTTGTCCCGCCTTTCCTTAGGTTTGTCGTCGCTTCCACGTGGCTGAATGGCTGGTGCACGGCACACCGCTTTCAGGGTCGTGCCAGTTGCATTTTTTACCGTGGACCCTCGGACTCGCTGGAACACCTGGCCAGATGCCGAGTGGTCAAAGCCCTTTTCGGTCCCTACCTCGGTGCGGCCCACTGGGACTCTCTTGACTTCCTGTGGCTTCACACCGGCTTCGGGGCCTTCGCACGGCAGGCGTTCTGACTGAGGCGGTTGTAGAGGCCACCCGGCTCAATCCGGGCCTTGCTGCTCGGTATTCCGCCCCTGCACGTTTCCGGGCCGACTTGCAGGAATCGGCTCGCAAATGGCTCGATGCGGCGAAACGCCTCCGTACACTGGCCGTTTTAAGTCAGTAGCCACCGACAGTGTGTGGCCGCCGACAGTTTACATTAACAGGGTGTAAGCATCCAGCTTGTAGGGCAGGGATGATACAAAATACTTCGTAGTGGCTGTAAGTGAGGTATATAACGCCTCTCACACGCATCCGCTTTTTCCGCCAGTGCTTCCCGCGCACGCCTCATAGCATAGCAGCCTGTGGTGTACTGTTGCAACAGCGTCATGCGCTGTGGAAGAACAGCAGGTCAGGGCAGTTCCAAGCAAGGTGATGCAATTCAACGCAACGCATCGCCATGCACAGGAGTGCAAAACAGTGTTGAGCAACGCGAAGCAATGCAATCTGACGCAAGAAAAGTAAAGCAATGCGCAGCCGTGCTAAGCAATGCCATACAATGCACGTCGACCCAAGCCAATCCAAACCAACGCACAAAATAACGCGAAAGCGTTGTAAGTCAACGCGACGCATGTCAGCACAGAGAAATCCAAATTAGTACAAGGCGCTGCAAAGCAAGGCCAAAGCAATGCGCAGCGCGAGCCTTCTCATAATCAGTTCGTGGCCAGAATCGTGCGGCGACGGGCGGTGACGGGTGGCCACAAGCCTGCTGGCCGCGCGCCCAGTCCCATGTGCGAGCCTCGGTCACTCTAAATGATCACCAACTGCTGCGGCGACGGGCGGTAGCGACGGGCGGCCACGAACCGGCCGGACCGACGCACAGTCTCGGTTTTGTATAAGAGAAGCACGAACCCCTCAATGCAAAAATTGGTTTAAGAACACGTCTTGAAGTCCTGTGTGCAGAGAATTACGCGAGAAATGCGTGGCCCCGAGAACACAGTGTCAGGCGAGAGAGGCGGGCAGTGTTGAGTTTGAGCAGATGTGGAGAGGGGTGGAAGATGGAGGAGAGGGGACAGGAAAAGGGAGGAGGGAGGATGAGCAGAGAAGAGGATGATGGGGGAGGAGGAGCAGGAGGTAGGAGGAGAAGGCGGGACGGAAAGGTAGGGGGGAAAACGGCGGGTGCAGGAAGGAAGAGGGAGGAAGGGGGGGTGAGCAGGCGAAACCGCGCTTCTGGATCCAACTCCTTCGTTGTCGTTGTCGCACCTTCTTTTCCCCGCCCTCCTTCCCCTTGTCATCGTGTTTCTCCGGCTCCTCCTGCTGCGGGTGCTTCCTCATGCTCCCGTTCTTCCTTGTGCTCATGCTCGTGGCAATCCTCCATAGCGCCAGTGCGCCTAGCTTGTCCTCCCTCCTCTTTCTCTCCACCTCCCCCTCCTCCTCCTCCTCCTCCTCCTCGTCGTCCTCCTCCTTCTCCCCACCACATCGTGGCTGCCTGGAAAGCCTCTTCCTCCTCATTCCTCCTCCTCCTCCTCCTCCTCCTCCTCCAGCGAAGGCGACCAAAGCCACTCCCGCACCCACCACATCATGTTTCATATGTTCAAAGCTTCTCTCTAGAGCCTGTGGCCCGGTGACCGTGGTCAGCCCCATGTGCCCCAACAGCGGCCCCGGGCAACTTACGACAGATGCAACCGCCGAGGGCCGGGGAAACACATGATCACACAACGAACAACGTGTTTAATAAACACCCACAACTTTTAATGAAAGCTGCTGCGCGCGAAATTGCCTGGGACATTACCCAAATCGCGCAATCGCGCACGTGTAACGGCGCAGTGTTATAAACGCAACAACGCGTTTATGAAATTACCAAAAAATTATCAATGTTCACGAAGACGGTCTTATACAAGTGCTTGTGAAACCAAAAACGACGCGATTCGCAATCGTCGCCGTGGGGGCGCACCGATGAAGTCCTTAGGCGTTCCGAAAAAATCAGCCTGGTGAATGTGGGGATGGGTTGTTCTCTCTCGATACTCCTCCTGCATTTTCTCCTCCACCTCCGCCTCCTCCTTCCTCCTCCTCATCCTGCCTCCTCCCCCCCTGCCTCCTCGCACAGATGGCGAAGCGGCGCTCCTTGGGCGGTGGGCCTGCGGAGCGCGACTTCGCCATGCGTGCGCTCTCCCTGGAGCTCCCGGGCGGGGCTGCCGAGAGGCCCAAGCTGGCACGACCCCTCCCGAGCGGCCGTTGTTCGGCGCCGGCGCCCGGCAACGGTTGCTCCCGCGGGATCGGTGTGGAGCACGGGTTCTGCATTCTCACCCAGCCAGGCCTGGCACGCATGGGCGCTCCCCCCCTTCTTCTTTCCCATCCTCCTTCCTCCCTCCTCCTTCCCCCTCTTCCCCCCCCCCTTCCCTCCCTCACTCCCTCTCCCCCTCTATCTTCCGCTCTCCCCTCCCTCCGGCGGGAGTGACCGAGGCCCTCGTCGCGCCGGCGTTCCGCGCCGCCGCCGGCGGGGACGACGAGTCGGACGATTCTGGCGAGGCGCCCGCTGCGCGTCGTCGTCGCCGTCGCCGTGGTCGTGGCCGTGGCTGCCGTACCAGGCCGCGAAGGTGTGGAAGGAAACGGGCTGCGGGAGCTTTTGTCGCAGATGTTTCGGGCCTCGGGGGCCCTCATTGAGCTCGGGGCCCGCCAGAACTACAGTCAACCCGCATAGCAAGGATGGGCAACCTTCCCAAGGGTACCCCTGCATCCTTGCCTCCTCGGTCCATCATTGGCTTTCGTTGGCCGCGCCCCGCTCGAAAAGCTTCGAAATGAGCGTCCAAGGCCCTTGCATCCTTATCGGGCATCCTTATGATGCGGGTTAACTGTACGACTCGGGATGAGACGCCAGCCTTGGGGAAAGGGTCGACTGCATGTAAGAGTGGCCCTTCGCCGGAGTGACCTGTGATGTGGGCCCATTTGGGTCTTCCGATCGCCGAGCGCGATGCGACAGAAGCGTCTTGCGCGCCTGGGTCCCCCCGCGCCCGTCAGAAAGTCGCACACCAAAGGTCGCTCTTACCCAGGGTCTCTCCTGCGTGTAGCCGAAAATGGTCGGGACGTTGGGGGCATTGGATCTCTGAGGTAGTCGCCACAGTCGTCACCGTCGTCGCCGCCACCATCACCATCGCCGTGGCCGTGGCCCTCGTCCTCGTCGTTGTCATCGTCCTCGTCGTCACATGAGGTTTCCGGTTTTCATTGTTTTTGGACCTTGGAGGCCTTTCTCGGGCTCGGGCGCCGTTGCAACTCGATCCAGGGATGGTGCGTTTGACGCGTCGTCGTCGTTGTCGCTCTTGAGATGGTCAGCGTTACGGCCGAAGATGTCCAAAGGATGTCGGGGAGGCCCCCATGGCCCCCAGAGCAGACGCTCCTCCTTTCCCTCCTCATTCCCATGTCGCGAAGTGAAGTGAGTCAATTGTGAAGTGTGTCCATGTCCATGTCCCTCGCTGCTCCTCATTGTGAAGTGAGTCCATTATTGCGTTTGGATATGAGGGCACCTGCAGGCGTGTGTCACCATGCGCACGGGGCGCAGCTGACCAGAGATGGTATCAACATTTTGATATGTTGACGTGGGGCGCCCAAAGACCCACGCGACGACATGCCTGCCCAGATGGCTCCTTGTGCTCCAAGATGGCGGGAAAGGCTCGGGCCACCTAGGTCCTGGGCCACTTCTGGAATTTCTTGACGCATTGCGTACCCCCACCAGTTCGCCCGCCGCTGGCGCGTTCGCCTGCGGCCGTAAAAAAAAAGTACCCCCACCAGACAATCCAGAAAGGATGCCCAGGCGAACTACATTGACCAGGGCAGTGTCGGAGCTCGTGTGCGTCCATGGGAGGCTCTGTGGCCACGTTCAGCCGTCTTAGGGCGGTTTGCGGGCCTTCCGGAGGCATGTTGGAAGCCCTCTTGAGCCATCTTGAAGGGCATTGTGCAAACAAGGGGTTGTCGCGGATTATCGCTGACCGTCGTGGGCTTGAACAAGTCACCTCATGGAGCCCTCTTTGGGCGCTCTTCGAGCGCTCTTGGGTGTTGTTGGGGCCGTCTTGGAGCAATCGTCGGAGCCTTTCTAGCTCTCGTGGGACCTCCATGGGATCCTCTTCGAAGCCTTGGGGACCTGAGGGCCGCTTCCCCAGTTCCCAACCATCATGTGGTGTTGGGTCCTCGTTTTGACGACACGGTTCCCGCGTTTCTCCTCTCACCTCCTCCTCCTCTTCCTCCTCCTCCTCCTCCTCCGGTGAAGCTCCTGCCGCTTGGCCGATTCACCCCCGCAACATTGGCAATGGGGCTCGTCGCGGTCCACGACCGCTGCGCGACCCCAAGACGGCCTTCAGGTGACCCCTGGGGCCGGGACGACCCCAGGACCCCGGGGCGAACCCAGAGTGACCCCACGGAAGACGCTCGATCCACTAGACCCTGAAATCATTATTACAAGAAGACCGCGTGACGATTCCAAGATGACCCTAACACGTCCCCATCGCGACCCCGTGACCCAAAGATGACTCCCCAAGCGCGGTGACGCTGTTATCGGCGGAGTGCTGCGTGCGCGCTTGCTTTGTGTGTGGCGCGCTTTGCTGCCACGGTGTCTGCCGGCCGTGGGCGATAGGGCGACGCGATCCAATCGACAGCCGCGAAGATGTTTCTCCGCCCTCGCTCGCGCGCGTGCGGTTGATGCTCCGCGCGGCGTGAAGGCATTCGCGCTCGTGTAGAACGCAATCGGCGCCCGTCGCACTCCTTGCGGGGGATGCCTGCCCATGCTCTTGCCGCGCGCCGCCAGGTCCACAGGCGCCCCATGCCGCGAGCCCGTCATTCCAGGATGATTTCACTGTGGTCCCAGGACTTCAACGTGAGAGTCGACGCATGACCCCGAATGGCTATCTATATGACCCCCAATGGCTATGAATATAAGTGCAGAAACAGCGCAAACGAGCGCACATGCTTAAATCGATTCCAAGCAGTAGGCAGCAGATGGCGGCGTCGACAGGGGGAACTCCGAGCCACATGGGCGGCGGTGTCTGAAGCGCGGACAGAGTCAGAACCCAGCGATTCTGGCATATTCTAGGTGCCAGATGCGCATGTTATAGGTGCCACTTCGGGCGATTTAGGTTTGGAAGGGGGGGAACCTGGTCCTGGTCACCCTCCGCCCGCGCCGGCCCTGCTCGGGACTGACGCGGGCGAGGGCCCCGCATACGCGCGAGCAGTTACCGCGCTCAGTGGCTTACCTGGACAGGAAGGTATGGGGGGGCAGGGGAAACCGGGTAGACCCGGCGACGCCCCGCTCGCGCCGGCCCTGCACGGGGTTGGTGATGGCCCAACTACACAAGAAGTTGCCGCGCTCAGTGGTGGAATGGGTCAGGGGTCCGACGGGTCACTGAGTCGCGAGTCGCGGCCGCGCTCAGCGGCGTATCTAGTCCGCGCAAGGAGGAGGACGGGGGGGGGAAGCGGGGGGGGGCTGGTCACCCTCCGCCGGCGTCGGTTCTGCCTGGGACCAACGTAACGTGGGCGAGGGCCCCGCGTCCCCACAAGTTAATTGCCAAGCTCAGTGGCTTACGTGGACAGGATGGCGGGGGGCCAGGGTAGCCCGGGTGGACATGGAGACGGCGGCGTCAGAATCCAGAGCGTCCACAGCGAGCCAGCACTTGGACAGCCCTCTGGCCCCGAAGCGGCCCCCCCAGGCCGCCCCGTGGGGCATGGGGTCCTTTTCTCCACAAGAGGTTGTCACGATCGAACTTGGCGCCGCTGCTCGTCCAGGAGAGCCCTCGTCGCCACGGCCGGATGTCCGGGAAGTCGGAGGATTCCGGGGGTGCGGAGGAAGGGGGGATCCAGGTGCCGCTGTGCGTCCTGGAGAGCCTTCGTCGCCGTGGCCGGCTTTTCGGGGCGTCAGAGGAGGAGTGGATCCTGCGACCGCTGCTTGTCAAGGAGAGCCCTCGTCGCCACGGCCAGGAAGTGGATCCCAGCAGCACGACTGTGAGCAGCAGGGCGGGCGCCAGCAGCACCATCGTGGGCAGGACGACGGACTCCAGCAGCACGACCACGAGCAGCATGCCGTACTCCAGCCGCAGCATCGCGGGCAGCACGACGGACCCCAGCAGCTCGATCGTGCGCAACATGACAAATTCCAGCAGCACGACCGTGAGCAATCAGACGGACTCCAGCATCGCGACTGTCAGCAGCCAGACGGCTTCTGCTGGGCTGACCAAGTGGACGACGGTGATGCCGAGCCCGACGCACCTGGACCCGACGCCCTACCCGACGCCACAGCTGACGCCCCTCCCGACGACGCCGCGCCCGACGCCCCTCGCGACGGCGCCTCTCGCGGTTCCCTCCCCGAGACCTTCCCCGACGCCCCCCACCCACGCCCTGTCCGCCACCCTTTCCGACACCCCCGCCCGCGCCGTGCTTGCCAGTCTGGGCGCTACGTAGCGTCCGTCTTTGCGGCCCGCCGCGTCAACGGCTCAAGCCGACGATTGGGTCATCGCGGACACGCATCCGCACGTGAGCCCTCCGCCCGCTCCCGAAGCTCCTCGCTGCTCCCCTGAGACGACGGCCGCGGGCGGCTCCGGCGCCGCGGGCAACTCCGGCGCAGGCTCGCGAGGGGGAGCTCATCGGACTGCACGGCCTGAGCTCCCAAGAACACCTGGACCGCGTTGCCAAACACCCGCGTCCAATGGGACTCGTTCGGTTCGGACTATAGGAAGCAGGGCAATGAGCGGGCGTGTCTTGGGGATGTCCCAACCCGCGTCCTGCTCGACTCCCTTAGGTCGAAGGGGGCCCTCGTAGCCCAGGTCAGGACGACGCAGCAGATAGGCGGTGAAACCCGGGCGGCTTGGCATAGATTCTGCGCTCGGCGTGGAGGTGGCGCCCACGACCCCAGCCGGCATGCCGCCATTTTCGTCCGTTGTTTCGTCCACCAGTATGAGTTGCTGTGAACAACCCATACGCCGCACAAGTCGTTGCACCGCTCACGTGCGTTCTTTCCTTTCCTCCCCCCCGCTTCGGCGGCCTTCGTTACCCCCCTTCCGTGGCGCGCCTCCGCCGCCCCGCGCCGCGCGGCGCTCCACCAGCTCCATCGCGCGCCACCCTGGCCACCCTTGCCTTGGCGCCGCGCCGCTCTGGCGCGCGGGCTCATTTTGCGGGCGCCCGCGCCAGCCCTCTGGCCTCAGTTTTGCCGCCCGCCAGTGCAGTCACCACCCGGTCGCTGCATTGATGGACGCCTCCCAACGCTCAGCCGGGCCGCCGCTCACGTTGCGTCGCGGGTTGCTGCCCCCCCGCCCGTCGGGTGCCACCCGCAGCAGGCGTTCCTCTCCTCCCTTTCCTTCGCCCTTCTCGCCTTTTTGCCTTCCCTCCCTCGCCTCGCGCCGCCATGACGCCGCCGCGTTGCTTTGGCCTCGGATAGTCGCATGCACGACAATGTATAACTATATATATGTATGTATAGGTATATTAGGTGTGACTATATATTTACATATACATACATACATGCATACATACATACATGCATGCATACATACATACATACATACATGCATGCATCCATCCATCCATCCATCCATCCATCCATCCATACATACATACATACATACATATATACATACACACATACATACATACATACATAAATCCACACATACTCATACGATCGTGGCTGAGATCGATGGATTGTCGCCCGACTTTCGGAGCACCACGTGCAGGGCGGCGCTTCTGCGCGCTGCCCGGGCCGATCCCCCGTGAGGCATATACACCTAGGGGGGTGGACGAGGAGGAGGGGAGGGAGAGGGGAGGATGGGAAGGAGGCGAATGAGGGAGGGAGGAAGAGGGGGGGGTCGATGGGAGGAGGAAGGGAGGCGAAGGAGGAGGAGGAGGAGGAAAAGGATGAGGAGGAAAAGGAGGAAGAGGACAGGAGGAGGAGGAGGGCGAGGAGGAGGAGGAGCAGGAGCAGGAGGAGGAGGAGGGGGAGGAGGAGGAGGAGGAGGAGGAGTAAAGGGAGGAGGAGGAGGAGGCACGGAGGAGCGACGGTTGGAGGACGAGCAGGGGCAGAAGGAGGAGGGAGGAGCGAGATTTGAGGACGAATGAAGATGGAGGCAGGAGGTACAGTAAGTTCGCGTCGTGTCAACTGGCGGCGACCCAGAATCGGTCGATGTTGAACGATCTGACGTTTCGGAAACGGCCGATCGTTCAATGTTGAACGATGCCCTCGGTGTCAGAAGCCAACACCCGTGTCGGCACGACACGAACCTGCCGCACGGAGGGGGGGGGCCAGGACGGATGATGGAGTCTCGGCCGTCCCACGCAGGACGGAAGTTCCAGCTCCGGGGAGTTCGACGACAGGTGGGGCGGCGACAAGGGGAAGGGCAAGGGAAAGGGCAGGGGCAAGGACCGCCCCCCCGCCGCCCCGCGCGCGAGAGTAGCGAGTGAGAGGATGACAGGGGGGGATTCAGGTCCGAGGATCGAGGTCTTCCGAAATTTGTGGGATCTCTTGGGCCTTCTGTGGCGTCCTTGTGGCCGTGGCTGGATCCGCCCGAAAGTTGAACCAGAACGCACCCCAGGACAACTCTTGGGGCATTTGAGGAGGAGGAGGACGACGACGACGACGAGGAAGAGGACGCGGCGGAGGCGGAGACGGAGTCGGAGTCGGAGGCGGAGGTGGAGGAGGAGGAGGAAGAGGAGGAGGAGGAGGACGAGGATGAGGACGAGGAGGAGGGGGAGGAGGAGGAGGAGGAGGAGGGAGGAGGACGAGGAGGGAGGAGGGTGGAGGGTGAGGAGGAGGAAGAGGAGGAAGAAGACCAGTGGAAACCCAAGAGTCATCAACGATGTTGGAACAAACCCTTCCTTCAAGCTCCCTGTTCATAGGCCCCTGCAACGGTTCATTCCCGCGTAGGGAACTGCCCCGTTGGAAGACAACCGTTTGAAGACCCTAAGCATGCCAACGCTTTGTTCTCGGGATTCCAACGACATTGATCAACTTGAATGTTGCGTATTGGCGATGTTGAATCGTGCCAGCACATCATCCCTGGGACTTCAACACCTCGAATCAGCGAACATGCTGCACCCTCATAGACCTGAATCCTTCCCGAAAGCACTTTCTTGTTTGCGCGTCACTTTGTCAAGCTTACAAGCAATGCATAAGCGAATGCGCGCGGCGCTAAGGCGAGATACACATTTTGAGAAGGAACCGCCCTCAATCCTTGAAGCTCTTGCCCGCGGCTCAATGGCGAGAGCAACATTTTGTAAACGGCCCGCCCACAATCCGTTTTTTCTCTTTCAATAGTGTAAGACGCGCGTGCGCGACGCAAAGGCGATAGCCACATGTTGAAATCCACCCCCCCTCAATCCGTGAAGCTCTTGCAGCTTATTACGTCGAATGTGCACGGCGCTAAGGCGAGAGCCACATTTTGAAAACCACCCGCCCTCAATCCGTGAAATGTTTGCAAATGTTTGAAACGAGTGTGCGCGGTGCTAATGCGAGCGCCATATTTTGAAAACTACCCGCCCTGAATTTGTGAAGTTCTTGCACTGTGTTGTACCGTGTGGTCGCGGCGCGAAGGCGAGCGCCACGTTTTGAAAACGACCCGCCCCCCCCATCGGTGAAGCTGTTACCACTTGTCAAACCTTAGCGTCAGCAGATGTGAGGAAGTCTCAGGAAATGGAATGGAGGTGGAGGAGGAGGAGAAGGACCAGTGCAAACCGAAGAGCCATCAACGATGTTGCAAGTAACCCTCCTTCCAAACTCCCTCTCCATAGGCCCCTAAAACGGTTCAATGCCAGTGAGGGAACTGCCTCGCTGGAACACAACCGTTTGAAGTCCTTGAAGCATGCCTACACATTGTTCCCGTGAGTCCAATGTCACGTATCACTTTGATTGCTGCGTTTTGGCGGCCCAGAATCGTACCAGCACGCCATTTGTTTGATTCCAACACCGAGAATCAATATAATTGTTGCTCCAGCATGCTTCTGAATAGTACCACAACGCTATTTTTGGTACGCTGATAACGGGAACCCGTGAAACTCTTGCAATTGTTCAAAACGAATGCGCGCGGCGCTAAGGCAAGGGCCACATGTTGAACAGGAACCGCCACCAACCCGTGAAGCCCTTTCAACTTGTTCAACCGAATATGCCCGCGGCGTTAAGGCGAGAGCATTTTGAACATAACTCACTCAATCCGTGAAGCGCTTGCACGTTTTAAACGAATGTGCGCGGTGCTAAGGCGAGAGCCACATTCTGAAAACCACTCGCCCTCAATCCGTGATTTTGTTGTGCAGCGTTTTACAAAGAACGCGCGCGGCGCTTAGGTTAGAACAGCGTTTTGAACAAGGCCCGCTTTTAGTCCGTGATACGTTTGCAATTATTAATACGAATGTGCGCGGTGCTAAGGCGAGAGCCACATTTTGAGAAGGAGCCGCCCTCAGTCCGTGAAGCTCTTGCAATCTGTGACAAAGAATGTGCACGGCGCGAAAGCGAGAACCACAGTTTGTAAACGACCAGCCCTCACTCCGCGAAGCTCTTGCAAATGTTGAAAACGAAGGTGCGCGGCGCGAAGGCGACAACCACATTCCGAAAACCACCCGCCCTCCATGTGTGAAGCTGCTGTCATTTTTTAAGCTGTAGGGTCATGAGGAAGTCTCAGGCAAAACGCCCGCCCCGCCCTCAAAACCAGCCCCGGGGTACGACAGGGCGGAGTTATGTATAAAGAGAAGGCATGGAGGAGGAGGAGGAGGAGGAGGAGGAGGAGGAGGAGGAGGAGGAGGAGGAGGAGGAGGAGAGGAGGAGGAGGAGGAGGAGGAGGAGGAGAGGAGGAGGAGGAGGAGGAGGAGGAGGAGGAGGAGGAGGAGGAGGAGGAAGAGGAGGAGGAGGAGGAGGAGGAGGAGGGGGAGGAGGAGGAGGAGGAGGAGGAGGAGGACGAGGACGAGGAGGAGGAGGAGGAGGAAGAGGAGGAGGAGAAGAGGAAGAGGAGGAGGAGGGGGGGGGAAGGGGAGGGGGGGAGGAGGAGGGGGAAGAGGAGGAGGAGGAGGAGGAGGACGAGGAAGAGGAGGAGGGGGGAGGGGGAGGGGGTGGGGGAGGGGGAGGGGGAGGAGGAGGAGGAGGAGGAGGAGGAGGAGGAGGAGAACGAACGAACGAACGACTCTGCAGAGGTGCGCCAGCACGGGTCTCGCCCACAATACCAACTAAACATGCTCGGAACATTCGTCGGGTTGATTGATTATCACATCTAGAGTGCGCCATGGCCCTAACATTGAGAGGTCCACGCGTGGCCTCGTGGCACAGAGCTCCCACCCACCCCCTTCCACGGCTGGATTGCCAACGTTTTAAAGACGGCAGGGCCGAAGGGCAGGGGCAAAATTGGGTGCAGGGAGAATTCGAAGCACGACCCTCCCGCCAACGCGTTGGGCTGGAAGGAGGGGGGGGGGTCGCCCTACATCGGGCTCGAAAACTCCCTAAGGCATCGACAATTGCAAAGCGTGAAAGCTCGGGCGGCCCCAGGGTCCGAGGGGAAACAAAAACTTGCTTCGGCCTGGGGGGCAGCCTAAGGAGACTCAAGACTCTGCTAAGAGAGAGGTTCTCACTGGGGGACAGGGAGGAGGAGGGCATACTCGGCGGCCCAACTGAGGTCATAGATGAGGGGTCCGCTGAAGTTCCCAACTCGCTCGGTGCAGAAGGAGTAGCCCCAATCGCACTCGCTCTGGCCGCGACCGAACTCGTAGGTGCAATCTGGGAAGCCGTCGAGCCAATCTGAGAACATGCACTCGCTCTCGAGGGAGATGTGGCCGAGGAAGGATACGACGGCATACCGTGTCCCGCCCCCAAGGGGGGCGCTTATGCTGCCATCAAAAGTCTAGCTGACATAGCTCGAATGCGAGAAGCTTCCTCCTCTGTCTGGTGCTCCACAGGGGCCTGGGTCCCCTTCTCACAAGTTGTCGAGTCCGCCGAAATGTATCTGCATCACCCTCGCACCGTGGCTCCTGGGAGGAACGCCGCGTTTGTGCTTGCCTCCGAGCTGGACAAGGGAGTCTACTATCACTTGCTCGATCTGCTTCGGCTCTGCGGCGGGCCACACATTCACGAACTCGCCCGAGTGGGTGGTCTGCATGCGGCAGTGGAGGATTTTGTCGGCCAGCTTGGAGTTGTCGGGTTTCTCGTGCTTGATCTGCTGCTCGTAATCCTTCAGGGCTGCGTGGTTGAGCTGGCCTATCTTCTCTCCTTGGGCAATCAGAGCTCCGAGCAGGGCCAGGAACACGTGAGGATGAGGAATGCCCAGCCCCTCGAGCTCTGCCACCACCTGGCCCGCCTGGATCCGTTGTGCGTGCCCTTTGCGAAGCCTCGCCGCTTCCTGGCCGTAGAACTTCGCAGTCAACTGCACCGCCAAGACTACCTCGTGCTTGCTCGGCACCTGCACATGCCTGAACGCCGCCAACTCGAGATGATTGACGGAGAGCTCGTGGCGCAGCGCGAGGCGCATGAGCACGGGGCAGGTGGCTTGGATCCACCCGATTGGCATGTGTTCGAGTCGCTGCACATCTGCGGGCACCAGGCCATAGTGATTGTCCGCCAGCGCCAGTGCGTCGTGTCCTCCTGGTGGCGCCGCGCGCTGACCTGCAGCGCCGCCAGGCTGCGCGGCCGATGGTCCGAGGCCGCCCGCGGCGGGGGCGGCTGCCGAGCGAGCTGTTCCTTGACCCCGACGCCGCCCTGCGCCTCGCTTTCCGCTGCGTGTCCGATCGCCCTGGCCGCGCCTGCCGCGCAGCTCTTGCGCGCGCTGCTCTGCCCCAGTACTCAGGGCCCGCTCTGCCAAACTCGACATCGAAGCAAAGATCAGATGCGGGAGGGGCATGTACTTCTCGCATGTGCTGCTGCAGCGCACAGGCGTCTGATATTCACCTTGAGCCAGAACGGCCTCGGCAAGACGCTCACGATGGTGAGAATGAACGCTGTCAGGATCAACGCACGCGGGACATGTCATGACCTCGGGGACTTTGAGGGCAGGGGAGTACGGGCTGAAGTCGGCCAGGCAGCGCTTAAGGTTAAGGGACTGGACCACGTGCCTCCGAGCGAGAACATCCGAGGAAAACGTCGAAGAACAACAGGAGCACTGGTTGGTCACAACTAACTGGTGGATGGGCACTCGAGCCTTATGGGCGGGATGATGACACAGATGGGCCCTAAGAGCGCCACGAGACTCGAAGACCATATTGCAGGGCCCCCCCTTGCCATTAGGCCACTCGCAGGCGTACTCATGAGGCTCGGGAACAGGTGGAGGAGGAGCCCCAGGTACAGCAGGAGGGCGAAGAGGCTCGTTAGACTATTGCTCCCAGTAGGCCCTGCGGAGTCCCTTGGGGTCGATGCTGCCAAAGGCCGTGGCGATCCTATAATCGGTAAAGGTG